AATGTCCTTAGTCATCAGGGGATGTAATCAAAACAACTCTGAGATTCTATCTTACACCTGTCAGAATGGCTAAGATATAAAAACACAAGTGACATCCTATGCTACCAAGAATGTGGAGCAAGGGGGGCACTCCTCCATTGCTGGTGGGAGTGCAAACTTGTACAACTACTTTAAAAATTGGTTTGGTGGTTTCTCAGAAAACTGGGAATGGTTCTACCTCAAGAACTAGCTATAAACTCTGGGCATATACCCAAAAGATGTCCTACTATATACCGCAGGGACACTTGCTATATTCGTAGCAGAAAGACCCACATGGTAAGCACTCACTTACAAGTGGGCATTAGCCATAAAGTATAGGATACCCATGTTACAAACCACAGACCCAAACATACCAAGTAATAAGAAGAGTCCAAGGGAGGATACATGAATCTCACTCAGAGGGGAAACAAAATAGTCACTGATGTGGGTGGAGAGAGGGCACTGGGTGGGAGAGGGGGTGAAAAGGGGAATGGGGGTGGGGATGCGGTATGGGGAGAGGTGATATGGGAGAGAGCTGAGAGTGAGAATGGAAACCAGTAGGGGACATCTCTGAGAGTAACTGGTGACCCGGGACAGGGAAAATTCCAGGAAACTCCAGGAGTCTACGGGAGTGGCCCTTGCTGAGCCTCCTACCAGCAGTGGATATAGAGACTGAAGTGGCCACCTCCTATAGCTAGGCAGGACTTCCAGTGAGGAAGGGGTCAACAACCCACCCACTAATCCTTCAACCTAAAATTTGTCCTACCTACAAGATACAGAGGACTAAAAATGGAGCAGAGATTAAGGGAACAGCCAACCAATGACTGGCCCAGCTTGCGACCCATCCCACGTGAGAGCCAATCTCTGACACTGTTAATGATACTCTACTGTGCTTGCAGACAGGAACCTAGCAAAACTGTCTCCTGAGAGGCTTAATCCAGCAGCGGTTGGAAAGAGATGTAGAAATCCATGGCCAAACATCAGGCAGAGCTCAGGGAGTCTTGTGGAAGAGATGGGAATAGAATTGGGCAAGCCAAAGTGGTCAAGAACACCACAAGTGGACCTACAGAATCAAGTACCCTGGCCCATGGGGACTCACAGAGACTGAACCACCAACCAAAGAGCATACAGGGGCTGGACCTAAGCCCCCTACACTTTTGAAGCAGATGTGCAGGATGGTCTTTATGTTGGTCCCCTAACAATTAGAATGAGGGCTGTCTATGTCTCTGTTCCCTGCCATTGGATCCAAATCCCCTACCCGGACTGCCTGTTTGAGCCTCAGGGAGAATGTGCTTAGTCCTGCTGGTACTAGATGTTCCAGGATGGTGTGGTACCTAAGGGGGGCTTCCCTTTTTCTGAGAAGGGGTGGGGTAAAGGGGGAAGGAATCTTTAAGGTGGCATGGAGAGGAGGAAAGGGAGACTATAATCTGGATGTAAAGTGAATAAATTAATAAATGAAAAGGAATAGACCCCACAGTTTCATATATTTAAATGCTTAAAGAGTGGCACTCTTTGAAAGGATTAGGAGGCATGGCCTTGCTGGAGGTAGTGTGCCACTGGGGGTGGGCTTTGTTGGTTTCAAAATCCCAAACCAGGCCCAGCGGCTCTCTATTCCTGCTGCCTGTGAATCTGGAAGTAGAACTCTCAGATCCTTCTCCATCACCATTTCTGCCTGTGTGCCACCATGCTTCCTGCCATGATGACAATGGGCTAAACGTCTGAACTATAAACCAGTGCCAACTACATGCCTCCCTTTATAAGAGTTGCCACGGTCATGGTATCTGTTCACAGCAATAGAACACTGACTAAGACACCTGTCAAAATGAAATTTTCATCAAGGCAGAACTTAGTGAGCCCACGTATAAAGTGACTGAAAAGAAGGCCGAGTTCTAACACTTCCTGTCACCATAACAGCTTTATCCAAGTATTTAAGCCCTGTAGTCTTACAAATGAACTGAAAGTCAACAACTGGGCTCTTGGTGGCATAAGCCTGTAATCTTAACACTTGGGAGATATAGGCTGTAGGATTAGGAATTCAAGGTTATCCTCAGCTAGAGAGAGCATAAGGCAAGGCCAGGCTACATGAGACTTTGTTTTTAAAGTAAATATTTTTAAAGAAGAAAAATAAAACAACAACGACGACGAATCCTCTTCTTGGATCCACTGCTGTTCTGCAGGTTGAATGGGGCAGACTTAAATACAGAGGCCAGACCCCTTGCAACCAGAACTGAAGCTGGAAAATGTCACCTGTGGCTGACAATTGTCTAGAGACCATGAGGGAATGAACCTGACTGCAGAAACTGTTACCAGGTCTCCCAGTAAAGAGCAAAGCAAAACCTCCTTCTCTTTCTTGGAGAGAAAGAGAGAGGGGAAGGGAGGAGAGAAAGAGAGAGGGAAGGGGGAGAGTACATGGAGCAGGAGCTACAGTGAGCAAGGGAGAAGGAGAGGGGACAGGAAAAGGGGAAAAGAAAAAGAAGGTGGGAAGGGAAGAGAAAGACAGAGAGACAGAGACAGAGACCTACCATTAGGCCAGAGCATTCTATTCTTCTTCTGAGAAGCCAGCCTTCGTGGCAATCTTTTTCTAGAACTGAGGCAGCTGGGGAGAAGAAGAATATCCAACCCCAGACACTTACCTCTAGACTTTCAGTCTTTCCTAAGACCAATGACAATGGGAAGAACCAACCAAGAAGCCCTGTATGCATGTCACAAGGACACGGGGAGCAGGATCAGTAAACATTGAGGTCTCCTCACAGGCCTGCCCAGGCTTTCCCTCTGCACATATCGCAGTAAGCAACAGATATGGCAGCTAAAAGATGCAACCCTCAGATTCTGACCATGAAGGAGTTACTAGGAAACTCCACAGAAGAGAGAGTAACATACAACCTAAACCCCAACCAGCTAAGCAGAAAGACTGGTGCTAAAGAGTCTGTTTTTCTCCATCCCTGATGCATCACATCTGCCTTTCATTAATACATTTCAGGATGTGCAATTAATAAAAGTCAAAAGGTAGATTGTGAAACACAGCAGCTATCAGAATCAGACTTGTATGAGGCAAGTGTGCGCAAATAATCAGACAAGGAATTTAAAGCAACTTCCATAAACACACTGAGGGCTCAGAGGGAACACATGGGCATGTACGAACAGATGGGCAATGTAAACAGAGAGATGGAAACACTCAGGAAGTTTCTAAAGGAGAGGCCCAGAAGAAAATCCACCACAGAAGTGAGAAATGTCTTTGCAGGGTTCATCAGTAGGCTGGAGGATGATGCTAAGCAAAGCATCCGTGAGTCCCACAAAATAACAACAGGGTTTGGGAGCGCTCTCTACTGGTCAGTGCTTGCTCTGAATGCATGGAAAACTGAGTTTGATCCTCAGTACCTGTACAGAAAACCAGATGTGCTGGCTCATACTAGTGTAGGGGAAGTGAAGACAGAGAAGATTACACACACACACACACACACACACACACACACAGAGGCACACACACGCATGTACCCAAGGAAAAGATAACATTACAGGCCTAGTGTCTAGCTCAGTGGCAGTTTGTACAGCATACATGAGGTTCAACTCCCACCACCAAGGAAAACAAAATAGCAACAGAAATCAAAAAAGCAATGAGGGAGGGGGGATCAAAACATCCAAGAGCTGTGGGTCACTCATCAAACATTTCTGTAACAGATGTGTAAAGATATGTAATGGAATGATCAAGAGCACAGAAAAAGGAACCACAGGTTTACTTGAAGTGTTAAAAGTTAAGAACCTCCCAAAACTTACAACGGCATTGAACAAAAAAAACAAAAAAAAAAAAAACCAGAGATCTCAAAGACCTCCAAGCAGGAAAAAAAAAAATGATCCATGCCTATAAATAGCATATTCAAAGCACAGGAAGTCCAACCTTCAGTAGCCAACCTTGGGGTCTGTCAGCAAAGAAAAGGGATACAGAAAATGTGGCAAATATGCACAATGGAAGTTTATTCAGGCAGAAAAAAACATAATTATGTCACTTGCAAGAAAATGGATACAACTGGCTACTACCATATTAAGCAAATTAATTCTGTCTCGAAAAGACAAACATCACATATTTTTCCCTCTCATTGCTGAATTCTAGATTTTATATAGATACATGAAATCATGTATGCGCATTTAACATAAAAATAGAAGTAAAGCTGTCTAAAAGAATGAAGGGGACTCGTGGAAGTGAGGAGGGAGAGAACAGAGTGGGATAATGCATCCGAACACCTCATAACACGTATGGAAATGGCCCTACGAAACTTGGCACTTTAGACAGCGAATACAAAAAAACCTTTAAAGAAGGCTGGTGAAAAAAGACAGGAGCAAGGATCAGAACTCTGTGCAGAAACCACACAGTTGAGAGTGGCTGAGCTATTCAAATGCTAAAAGGATGAAACTGACAACAGAATTCTGTAGCCTGCACAGGCATTCCTCTAAAGTGAAAAATAAAGACTTCCTCGCACTCAAAAATGGAAGAAAATCTTCACTAGTAAACCTGCCTAGCAGAAAATATTTAAAGTTCTTCCAAGAGAAAAGAAAGGACACAGGTCAGAATGAGAGCTACATATGATGGAGAGGCTAAAGGAGCAATAGGTGGATCTAAAGTATAGAAATTCTCATCACTCCCTCAGGAAATCCACTCCACCCCACCCCACCCCACCCCACCCACCCCAGGCAATCTAGTCCACAGTAGCATCCCTTCAAATGAGCTGGGATCTACTGCATTGCCTGAAACACAAAGCAGGCAGCTATGTGCTCCTCAGCACCAGGTCTGCAATGCAACCAGTGTTGGATGGATAGGTGGATGGATGGATGGCGTGCTGGATGAGTAGATGAATGGATGAAGTGCTGGGTGGAGAGTTGGAGGCAAGGGGAGATTGAGAGATGGATGGGTATAGGGAGAGGAGGGAGAGAGGGAGGGAAGAAGAAAGGGAGGGAGGAAAAGATAGCATCCACACCAACAACAGGGCTGGTTGGTAAATAAGATGTCTCTTTATTAGCACTTCAGTAAGAAGTTTCCAGCATTGTCACAGTGGTAACCAAGGGCTCAGCATTTAGAGTCTCTCTGCTCAAGTCTTGTCACCCTTCAGGTCAAAACATGAGGTGGACACTCTTTGGACACAGGCTGTTCATCGACCCCTGAGGCCTTCAACCTGGGAATCAGAGATGTGTTCAGTGTTTCCTCATGGAAATGTGCAGCCAGTTGAAGTCAATGTCTGCTCTCTGTCTTCACTTACCCTCCATTTTCTGTGTAATGGTTGGCCGGATCATTGAGAACCCTTGACAAAGCATGCCCTGTGCAGAATCTGACATACAGTCAGCACTTAATAAATGCTAGCAGTGAATCTTCCTGGCATTCTTAGGCATGTGGCCTCCAGCTATGTGACAATCATTCCTTTCATGCCCACCCCAATGGCAGCTACCAAGGTATCTCGCTTGGATAGCATCCAGTGACTGCTTCAGGTATGCTCCATCTATTGGGATGGTTCTACCTCCAGACTTCCTCTTCCTGGAACCATAGCAATATCCCAGTTATGGTCTTGTATAAAGCACAAGCAGAGGCTGTGTGACTAAAAGCCCCTTGTTGGTGGTGTCAGGTTCAAAATCTATATGCCCTCCTGCTGAGACCCTGTTCCAAGCAGACTTAGAACAGCAACATCCATTTTTCCCACCCCCACTGGCCCTGAATGCAGACCCATCCCTCACTCAGGAAAAGGCAAAGCTCTCCACACTAGGTCTCTCCTTTCTACTGTCAAGGCTAGATGCCCTATCCATCCAGGCCTTTCCTTACCTGTGGATCTCCTCACCTTAACATTCTGAGCAAGAAGTTCTGAAGCTTGGATCATTGTACGAGTCACACCTGAGATGAGATACGCTGCAGAAGACCGAAGGGAGGTTGCTGTCAGAACCTATCTAGATCCCAAACCCAAACCACAGCCCAAGACACGGGCTGGCTGGGAAGCTCAGGCACGAGCTATCACTGTGTGTAAACTTTGGAACTGAAGTCCTGGAGGAAGGCCTCAGTCTGGAGCCATGTGCTGGCAGGTACCATGTGAGGTTGATAAGTACACCATGAAGTGAATCAGAAAGGACAGAGGCCCTTGGAGCTATGTGTCCCCATATGATGCTGGAGCCAACAGATGACATCATCTCCACCCACCTGTACCCAGGTGGACATACAAAGGGACTCCTCACCAGAATTTACCTTCGTCTCACTTGATCTATCCGTTCCTGCATGACGTCATCCATCATTTCACTTGGCACTTGGAAGATACGGGTGTGGCTGGAAAACACCATTGCAACATGGATTCTGAGCTGATTCTTGTAACAACCAAGCCTGGTGAGGCTACTGGAACTTGGACTGTAGGCACAGGAGCTCCAGAAACATGGGCCTGAGAGCCCATGTCTCAACTAATACAGTACCTCTGAGGCACCCAGCCACTGTATGCAGACAGCAAGTGGTTCCAAGGAGATACAGGGAAAGACAAGCTGGCCCCCAGCAAGGCAGTGGAACTGTGTAACTTCCCCCTTCCAAATTGCTCTCCGCTTTAGTATATGCTCTAAGGATTAGTAATAGGACACAACACGTCGGTCTAGTAGTTTGCCTTCTTTCTCTGTGCCAAAATCCCTTTCCTTCTCCAGTCTACTTCCTGTCTTTTCTCCTGAGACTTCCCACACATCCCTTCCAGAGTCCTGTAGCGCCCACCAAATACTCCCTACTTCTAAGGGCTATGAGAACTAAGCTCATTGGTGTCCTGTTACATTTGAAGCAGAAATTCTCCCTGCCCTAGCCTTCTGCCCCCTAAGAGAGGGGAAATATGATCTCTCCTACCAGAAAGAACAAGTTGAGAGCCCTTACAACAGTGGTTCCCAACCTGTGGGTCGGGACCCTTTGGGAGGTTGCATATCAATATCCTGCATATCAGATATTTATATTATGATTCCTGACTAGCAAAAGCACAGTTATGCAGTAGCAATATAATAATTTTAAGGTTGGAGGTCACTGCAACATGAGGAGCTGTAGTAAAGGATCACAGCCTTAGGAAGGTTGAGAACCACTGTCATAAAAAGAGTTAAAACAGACAAGGCCAATTGTCTCCAGCCTAGTAAAGGGGGCCCCTCAGAAAACAGACGACCCAGCACTGGATCCTGTAAGCACCTAGGATATAACCTGCGCCTAGAATATAGGCGCAGTACAGTTTTCTCTACAGTTTGCCATTTCTCTGATAATAGTACCTCATTAAAGAGCCAGTCTGAGCAAACAGCCTCCTGGGAATCTTCCTGAGACAATCTGGCACAGTGCCTAATGGACGTGCAGCCCAGCCTCTAGCTGCACCCTTGGGCCCTCCTACAGAGTCCCGTAACACTAACTTACACATACCCTACCCATCTGCTTAACTTTATATCCATGATCTATGGGGCTGTGCTCTGCTCTTTTGTTTTCTCCAGACCAGCTAGCAAGTGCATTACGGGAAAGCACAGATTGTTCCTTTCCAATCTCCACTGAAAATTCAGAGTGGAAAAAAATTATACATAGATAAATGACTGATGCTTCTTGCCTACCTCAAAAACTTTAAACTAACTGTACAGCCAAGGCTAAGACAAGGCTGGAAGGTGAGGTTAGTACTGCCCAAACCATGGAGAGTAATGGTTGTAACTTCAGAGTACATCCACATGAAGCAAGGAGAATCTGGAAATACCAACAACACTGTCTAGGAGCCTTAACGGGTTTCTAGAGAAAATTTCTTCTCTGGGTAGCTCTGAAATCTGCACACACACACACACACACACACACACACACCATTGCTTATCCCTTCCTAGAAGAGTCAGTGCATATTTGCATAGTGTACAATAACACGTGAATACTCAAATCCTGAAGCAAAACTAAGCTTGCTGAGAAGTGCAGCTTCCTCGAGGGAAGAGCAAAGCAAACAGGAGCACAGATTGGGAAAGAGGAAAGCACAAGCCCATTAGTCACACAGGGACTAGTTCAAGGACGGATGTGATGATCTGACCCAAAGACTGATAGATTCAGAAAACACACATGCACGAACATTCGAACTTGCACAAACACACACACGCACATACAAATAGGATGCCTCTGCTGGAGGAATGGGGTGGCTTCAGGCCTGCCCCCCTCCACCTGGAATCCTAGCATCTTCAGGACCACAAGAGGCTGTGAGAAGGAGCTGCACCAAGGTGGCAGGAAGGTGACACACTTTGTCACAGAATTCTTGCCTCTGGCACTGGTAGACCTCCATACTGCAAAGCCGCAGATGAGGGCTCTGGCTTTTGCATTTTAAGAGCTTATTTTCTTTTAGCTCTTTAAAGTGCTGCCACTTCTGAACAATTCAAGTGCAAAAGTAACGGGAATCTGAAACACATTCAGAAGCAGTTAGGAAATGGAAAGCAAGCCTAGTTCCCCAACTGCTGAAGCCACTTAAAAATGTACGAAGCGTAAGCTTTCAAGATAGCAAGAATATTCCCCTAAGTCCCCAAGGCATGACTGAAGAATTACTCTGCCAAAGGAGGTTGCGTGTCTAGAACAAAGTTACTATGTGTTTGATCTAGCCAGGGATCCTGGGGAGGGGCAGGTGCCATCTCGGTAAGACTCCCCTGCTCCCGGGTACCACACCTCCATCTGATAAACTGAATCCTTGTTCTTTCCTCCAGGACTTCTTGATTCGGGTCTGTTAACATATCAGACTTTGAGAGATGGTGCTTCATCTAGAAATTCAGAGGAATACATGTGGTTACTAACTGATGTGGACACCTGTGGCTGGGATGTGCCCTTTGCCCAGGATCCATCACACCAAGGATCATTGGCCTCACCCCACACTCTCACTCCCACTTTCCCACAAACTCTGTTACCAAATCTCTGGTCACATGGATGTCATGTCCATGGGTGGAAGGGACGTTGATGGACATCTTCTCCTTTATGCTCCGAGAAGCCTCTTCTTCCGTCTGAAAGGTGAATAATTTCCCCTCTTGAAGTACCTGGCCCTATCTGGTCACTCCCAAGTGCCTCCTCTCCTCTTCCTTCCCCTTTGCACCTCCCATTACCACATACAGACACACACACTTACAACTGCACACACACACACTTACAACTGCACACACACACACTTACAACCACACACACACACAACCACACACACACAT